TTTTCGCCAACATAAGATCTAGTATATCCAGTTGTCTAAATTACATATTTATAAATGCATTCTCAGAGTACAAAAACCTCCGTAGAAAATAAAGAATACTAATAAAAAAAACATTTTTATTTGGATGCCCTCTCACGTTGATTTGTACCTCTCAGTCTATCATAATTGTTCACTATACGTTTATAGTTAATTACTTACTTATTAAGGGTGCCCCTCCTCTATTTTGAAAAAATTTGGGATTTTGAGCTGAACATGTCCTAATGTAGAAGAAAGTCGGTGCTACAAAATCAGACCAATCTCAACATTCCACGACCTTCCTTGAAAATGTTATGAATTTTTTTAAGTTTTTTTCAAAGTCTGAAAGAACTCACTTTTGTAGTTTCATAAACTTTTCTCCCTTTTCCTGTATATTCAAAATTTTTTCTTATACATAGTCTGATTGAAGAAAGTGTTTTCTTCACAATGAGACGACTTTCAAAATTTTCTGATGATTTTTTATGGAGATACAAGCGTCACCGTAAATGCCATGAAGAAAACAACCTATGTACAAAATATGTTATTCTTACTGTATGTTTTTCCCTTCAATCCGGTCATATCACGATCTCTCGATAACTTGATCCAATCGTCTTCAAAACTTTACTATAAAATACTAGACAACGTTGCCCATGTGTAGATTTTTTTTTTCGTCCTATCATCTTTTCTTTTCGAGTTATAGAAATTTTAAGATTGAAAAACGTGGATTTTAAAATGTTTTTGCTACAACTGGGAAAGAAAGATTGATGAGAAAAGCTGAACAATATCTACACCTGGGCAATGTTGCCTAGTATCTATGATAAAGTTTGAAGGTGATCGGAGGATAAAGTTATGGAGAGATCGTAATATCAAAAATCAAGTTTTCTAGAAAACTCGAGAACTTTGATAGCTACAGAGTTGCAGTAAAAATGAAAAGATGCTCAATTGAGTTTTCAATTAGTCCTGGAATAGAGAAGCCTTTGTCATTTTTAGTTTATGCTTGATGATATTTCTATGAAAGACTCTCAAAAGGGAGGGATGGAGGGTGGGGTATCCTTAACAGAATACATGTACGTATGTTCTATTATCATCTTCTGATGATTTGTTCCACCTCAACGAAAAAAGTAGAGAATGTGACAATCGAGACAGAATGAAACTATTCTTATATTCAAGGTGAAAAGGATGCTAATCATTAGGATTACGCAATAATAATAATAATAATAAGTTGTTAGTAGAATAGAGAATAATAGGAAAAGAAAAATAAATATCAACAACATGTTAAAAGTTACATTGTATTATTATCATCATTTGATCAGTCGTTAACATATTCTGTACAGAGACTAATTTGAATCTAATCGAGTGATTGGAGAGAAAGCACGTATCATGAGTGTACACTAATAATGTTTAAAAAAGAACTTTTTTCCTTCTCTTCACGTTTCTCAGTTTCAATATTTTCTCAGATTCACAATTTTTTACCTAAAATAATATTAGTTATTCAAGTCGATGTTATACGAAGTATATTGAGGATATAATATTTTACTATGACTGGTACTATTTAAATTTACACTTCCTTTCCGATACTAAGATTAAATTTCTTCTGGACATTAGTAAAATTCTGTTGTACAAATTCTTTTAGGTCATGTGCATGAATTGTATAAAAATATTTACTCTCTGTCTTTTTTATCATCTCTGTTCACTGTCGATATATATGTGTGTGTGTAGATGTAATAAGCTATAGGTCTACGTGTTTGTTTTGTTGTTCATAATCGTTATAATAATACATATATTTTCTCAAATAATGGATTGCAGCGAACAATACAACATAAAGGACGTAACAATAGATGTTCTTCTCTCTCTCTCTCCTATATATATAATGCCATCAATATGTAATACCGACCTTTGTCATGTCTTAATATATCAGTTGACTGACTGACAGTTATGCAAAATATAAAGGAGTGAGTAAGGGGTAAGTGTGAGAGAATAACGTGCTTTTCTTGTTTATTGTATAACAGCAAAATCAATGTCAGATCTGGAGGGATTAGCTGAAAAGAGTTGCAGCTGTTTGTTTTGTCAGTAACACACTAGTGAATAGGCAATCAACTAAGGTACATGTATGGTAATCATAAAACACTTTTACACAACTTCACTCACTTATACACGATCGAAAGTCGACAAAATGTGACTGTACGTTTGGTGTAGAGCAGCATACAAAGTTCGTTGTGTTCTCTTAATTTTTTTGCTAAAACAGCGAGCGGGCAATAGTCGTAAGCAGCTCACTGCACAATTTACTGTTTCAAGAAATCTAACTTTTTATCCCCGTCCCGGCAACTGATCTTGCAAAACGAACTTGAAACCGTTTTACCGTACTAGAAGAAACAAAATTTATTTATTAACAGTGACTAGTTTATGATGCCAGCTTACACTAGAAAAAAATCCGTTTTTCGATTTAACGCATCGTCATCTTGTTACAGCGATCCTACGATATTCCACTAACATCCACGTCTATGGACATCCGGGGGTAAAGGGTTAATATGTTGAAGCGTCAATGTTTTGCTCGTTGGAAAAAAGTATATAAAACTTCCTAATTCCTCTCTAACTCTTTACGCCCGGCTACTAATCATGCGAATCAAACTTGAAACGTGTATACTTTTGTTTAGACTTGATGAAAACTTTTTTGTTATTAGCAATCGTTAGCTTACGCTGGGAAAAAAATCCGATTGAAAAAATTTTGATTTAGCGCTGCGTTACTTTTTTCTAGCAGTTATAGTGATGTCCCCTGGAAGGTACAATCGAGCATAAAAGGTACATAACTGACTTTTGAAAACCCCATTTCTGAACGAGCTTCCGGAAACATCAACAGATTTTAAAGATGTCAAGTTTTATTTGTAATGAAGCAATAATGGCTGCGGTCTATCTTATGGCGCAAACATTAAACTTACAACACCTTTTTGCTCTCAGTAGTGAAAATCTATTGTTGAAATTCGCGGACTATCTTGCTCGAGATATTTTAGTCCTACATAATACTCGAGTAAGACTTCAAAAGCCTTCCTTTTTCAGAACAAGCTAATCGATGATCTTATCCGATCTGGAGCTTAAACTCTGAATTGAAAATTAAATCGGAGACGACATATCACTGAAAAATTATATATATTGATTTATAGGATACTTTCACGCGGTACACACATCCATTTTTAAAATGTGTCGAAACCCGATCAAATTAATCAGCATTTCCTATAGATTTCTGAAAGATCAACCATCGAAATGGTTTTGAAAATAAGCAACTTAGAAAAGAAGATTGACCTTTCTATAGACTTTCTAACTAAGTGCTGTACCAACCTGGATCTAACGATACCGCACAATAAATTCAAAACGTGAAATATTAGATATTTCCAGCGGCGACAACATTGTGTGGTATCACGCAATCATTAGTACATTTATGAACACAATTATTTTATACATATTACGAAACACTCACTTTTCTATCTTTTTCTTTTCTTCTGACCAGCGGTTACAACTATATTAAAAGCTCTTGTTCAATCGTTCAGTAAAACAAATAGGTGTTTTCATGTAACTTTTGTTTCAAACACGCATAACCAAGCGGTCGATCATGTTATGATAGTAAGTAAACGTCAGCATCATTGTTATATAGAAAAAAATAGTTACAAATTTTAGATTTTCTGCCCAATCCCATTAAATTCCATTGAAAAGTTAAAATATTCAGTAGTATATGTAATGTGTGTGTATGTGTAGTAGAAGAAAAGTTACCAAAAGTCCATTCGTTGATCTGTTATGAGACACTTATTCTTTCAAAATGAAACATTCTAAACATTCCAGGAGAATGACTAAAACTTCTCTAAGTCTTCATCGTACTTGAGTTAAGTCTAGTCGAATTTCAAAATTAGCTACTCAAAAAATGTTCATCTATCTTTTCATTTTCCGATTTTCTTTTGTTTTGTTTCGTTTCGCAAATAATAATACAATCAAATTGATTAGTATAGAATCTCGTTTTATCGTTTGATGATTTTCGAATAGAAGTATAGAAAAATTGGCATGTGTGTATACATTAGAAAGATAGAAGCTCTGTAAAAATTAGTATCAGTTCATTTAATATAGTGCGAACACAAGCAAGTACTTCAGTATTAATTTTGTGTGTACAATCGAATAATAATAATAATAATCGAATACTAAAACAAGTATTGTAAGTAAATCTATCTTTATAAGATTTCTATCAAATAATTACACGAAGTATACAGTCATTAGCACACACACATATATAAGAATCATCACTAATACTCAGTTAGTTATGTCATACAGAGACAACCTTCTATAATATTTAATAAAGCGTACAAGATATTTGATATTATTTCACACATAGACTTTTAGTTCTTGATTACCTCTGATAAAGCGTAAACATTCTATTTTAGTGTCGACAAATCCATTAAAGCACAAGACTAAAATTTTATGTCAGCTTTCATATAGAAAGCTGTGCTACTAACGAAGTTGAATATACGATTTCCGTATACTTTTCAAAGACCTGTGGTTTATTTTCGTTGAATTCAGGCATTAATCATGTACATTAGAAAGTATGTATATCATAGAAAAGGAATGCTAAAGCTTTGATTGTAGATTAACTTCTATTGTTTGTTCATACATAGGATAGTAACAAACGTGAACGTATGTTTTGTCCTTGTTGTTTTTCTCTCTCTCTCCCTTTCTCTTTGTTGCCCGCACAATTCAATTATGTTCTCAGTAATTGATTGATTTCATTCTTTATTGGAAACATATCGATCGCCTCAAGTTATTTTTGATCAATACAGAAAGATGATAAACACTTATTCTTTCAATTTTTTGAACAGGAGTCACACTTTAACAAAAGCAAAATTAAATAATTATCTCTTTGCTTAAGTAGTAGTAAAGTATACTTGAAATTTACGATAGATAATCTCTTAGAGGTATTTATTCAATGAATAATTTTATTTCAACAATGATCATTTATCCTTTGCACATTGTTCAGCGTATTCTACTTCAATGTCTGATGGTATTAAAACTGCTTTCTCTTTCTTACAAATTAATGGTGGACTTCTAATATATTTTATCATCAGTGTCATATAATAGCCATCGAGATGTGGTTGTGGATTACTGGCATAATAGTCTCTGATATATTTTGTACATCGAAAACCACATTTTGTATATAATTTGATAGCCTTAATATTTTCTACATTGACATTTAATGTCACTTGTTTAATATCGTTATCATATGCTTGCAAAATGATGGCATTGAGTAGATTTTTCGCTAGACCATATTGGCGATATTCTGGTAATACGGATAAAAAGCATACATAAAGATTATCTTCCTCTGGGATATATCGTGACATTAGAGCGGCAGTAATTATTGACTGATATGGTGACTCAAAGACAAGAACATCTGGACAATGATCCAATGGATTAAAATAGGACTGTGTACGTTCAAATGATGCTCTTAGAAAGAGATCGAACTTATGATTCCATTCAGCAGCTTCGACCGGTGTACTCGTAGCTTTTAATCTTAATCTATACATTCGATGTTCATTCACATCTTTAACATGATCATATTGAAGACTAAAAACAGAATTTATAGTAAGGAAATTAACGATCAGATTGAACGTTAAAATATTTATTTTCATAATAACACAGACAAAAATACACACATCAACGAATAGACTTGATTTCGATCCTGTAAAAATGACTCAATTTTGCGCTTAAATTTTAAGACTCTTTCATAGTTTGTTCATCAATATTTTTTTTTAGAGAAAAATTGACGATTGTACTTGATAATTTTCTTTAGCATCATTGTTTTTCAGAACAGTTTTTTATTGGTACTGTAAACTATTTCTCGGACGGTCGATTTTTTTCTTCTCACAATTGTAATGAAAGTATCGATCCGGATGTCACTTGTAAGTCTTTCTCTCTAATAAAAACAAATCGTCCTTCAAATCTAAATGGTTTACTTCAGATATAGAATTTCTTCTTTTCCAGTGTCCGAGTGCTTTCTTTCCAATTAACCACTCATCCTATTCTGTTGAGTTGACAATGAGTGTATGATTGTTCAAAATGAAAAAAACGTTTTTTCTCTTCCTTTTTCTAAAAAATGGACGTAGTTAACTTTTGTGTGTGTGTGTGTGTGTGTATATATATATATGAATGAGATGTGTTGTATTCATTCAATGCTGATTTTAGACAAATAAAACATAAATAGAAATATCCGCTCTTTTTTCTCACTTGAAACTGTGCATATTTGACCATCAATTCATAAAGCTTCAAAATTACTTTTAGAACTATAGTTGATTACATATGCCAATTGTAGTAATACTAAAAAGATTTCTTTTCCTAGTTTACTATTATGAAGGGCATTTCTGTTGAATAGTTAGTTTGCAGAATAAGCTAACTATACAGTCGGTTTCATTAATCAGTATAGATGGCAACACGAAGGTTTTGTCTGTTTGATGGTCAGACTTGATAAGAGTTAGACCGTATAAAATCTGCTCTGTTAAAATCATTGATAGAATATAATCAATCGGTTATATACGTGTGTGTGTGTGTCGCGATGTCCTTAACCTTGCGTTAAATAATTAGTATACTTGGGATAGTTCAACAATATACATTTTTTTTTTCTTGTTCACACAATCATTAACATCAGTGTTTTTCTTTTCGTTCTTTGCATGTATTAGCTATTAACTTAACTCTAGATGTGTTGACAATTAAGAGACAAGGAAAAGTATTTTTATTTATACACACAGATTTTCTATTTCTGGATAATAAGAAGAGAAGAAAAGAAGAAAAAAAAAGTCAAAAAATCATGAAAAACCCGGAAGACATTTCTTTTACATAAGATGTTCATTTATAGAGAAGAAGAGATCGGCCTTCACACTTGGCAGTGCATAAGTAAGTATATTATAGTCTATTATATTTCAGGAAATTTCATATAAGAAAGAAAATTATTTATAGCCTCAAAATAAGTCTACCGTCATAAATAAAATAGCATGCGGCAAGAAACACGATGTTATAACTCTTCCTCGAAGGCCGAGAAACTATTTCTACTTAGCTTTATATTTTCTATCACTTCATAAGTTTTTATCTAAAATCGAGTTTCAATTAAATTTATACAGAGAGAGAATTGAAAAAAACAGCTTATGATAAAAATAGTATTATCCAAGTTTTCAGGTATTTATTCATCATTCTTTTATGGAATTTTCTCACACAGTTGTTTTGTTTTGACATAGCAGATTAAAGGCAATGATACGATGTTAAGAGGGAGAGTGTGAGTGAGTGAGTGAGAGAGTGAGAGAGAGAGAGAGAATTTGAATTGTATAGATAATTCTTTTAACCTAATGTTTCCCGTATCGTTCAATTTTTTTTTAATTATTAAAAGTACAATAGATACGTGTTCAATTTGTTCTGGATATTTACGTCAAATATGTTCTTTGCTTTAATTTTTCAAACGTTTTATATACACGCGTTCTCTTTCGGTATCATCTGTGACACACTATCACACAAAACAATCGTGATAATGAATAATTTTTTTTGTTGATGAGCCGTGTGACGCGTTCGATCATTTTTCAAATCGTTTAATATCAATTTGTTTCACTAACAACCTTGAGAAGATGGTACATGTGTGTGTGTATGTATATTTAAAACTACTTAAAATTCATGTCAATCTAATCGTGATTTAAATATATAATAAGATCTCATTTGTTACAGATCATAAGAGAAAAAAATGAAAAAAAAAAAGAAGATCAATGAAAAAATGAGAATGTAACAAAAAGAGAAAGATTTATCATTAGTTAAACTAAAACTGATTAGTGCCATAGTTTAAAACACCTCATGCACACGGTCAACTCAAATAGAGGCTAGTTTTAACCGTCTATAGCTCAACTTTAACACAATAATATACGAGTTTCGTTTGCAAGTAACAGAAGTTTACTGAATGAGAAATGTTTTACTCTGTTCGTCTCCGATAGTCGTCAATGGACAAATTAGGTACTTTCTAAGAGTAATAACAGATGGTATGGTGATAAAAAAAAAGAATAGAGTTTATTACAATATGTATTATTTTTAAACTTTTGTGTTATTAATTCACTTCTCTATATACATTTCGCATCAAACATCTTTATATGACAAAAGTGACATATTTCAAGAACAAATGAACATGGTCAAGACAGTTGTTTTGCCTTGATAAATGTTATCAAAAAAAAAAAAATTCGTATGTGACTATAATCTGGAAGGCTAAATAATGATGACATGGTTGTTTTTGTCATAATTCTTACATCTTTCATTATTGCATACATTTTCATGTCAAACATCATGGACATTTAACCTGATTTATATCGACAATTAACACATATACATATAGATTGAGTATAGGATTTTTTGACATTAAGATGAGATGAACGCGTTCAGGCGCAACGTATTAATTGACTAAAATCAAGCAAAAGAGTCGATAGATCAGCAATTATTTTGAACATTGACTTAGTTCAATATTTCTCTATTGACAAAGTAAGTGTTCACATTTTCATCATTTTAGGAAATTTTGTGACATTAATAACGATACTTTAAAAATGAGATATATTAACAAATAAGCTTTTTGCCTTGCTAAAGATAAAAATCAACGATTGAAGTATATATCAGACGTAGAGTGAAGATACCGCAATTATGGTAAAAACAGTTTCCTAAATCATTTTTACTTCTCATAAATGACTATGGATTCTCTTCGATCCATTGATTTTCCATGAAAAAAAATAAATAGAAACAATAATAAATCACAGTTTTTTTATATAAGATTGTCTGCTGTGCATAGAGAAAAACCTTGTAAAAATAATATTGTTATATTTTGCAGATTTTTTTTATTAAATATGTTTGATTGAACACATACATGCATATTTCCTTTCATCTTAAAAATTATAAATGTTACCTTTTGGGAAAATTTTTCGCTGTTTTTATGTGTTCATTTCTGTTTTAATAGCCTTGAAAACAGAGAATAATGGAATAGAATTTTCTATTGATATTATTAATTTTTCTTTCACTTCAATTGAAAAGAGAAAAAAAATAAGAGAGAGAGAGAGAGAGAGCAAGAGCAAGAGAAAAACTTGATTATCTGCCGCCATTAGTAAAAGTAAAGTATACGGTTGTTTGAACATGAAAAATATTTTTTATTCACCTTGTTTAATTTTTCTTCTTTCATCACGCTATCTACTACTGTTAGATGCGAGATTTTATATCGTTGTGATAAAAATGAACAAAAAAACATTTTGTTAGCGCGCGGCCACTTTGTATGTTTTACAAGTGACATATTCAACTAAATTGTTCAGTTTCTTGCTTTTCTTTTTTTCTTTCTCTCTCTCTCTCTCCTTCTGTCAAATTTCTCATTGTTAATAATCATGCAACATCTTCAAAGTTGTAATTTAATCTACCCTATCTTATTTAGAAAGAAAAGAGTTGTGTGTATGTAACGAATATGACACTAAAATAGAGAAGGACGGATCGATTTACAATAAGAAAAGAAAAAGGACATTTTTTTTTTAAGTTTCAATCATTATCATTTTTCTTCTTGTTGTTCACATAAAATCTTAGAAAAAAACATTAAAAAAAAAAAAGAAGTCAAGTAGGTTTATTTTCTCTCAAATGTATTCTGTAATTGAGATTTATATTGTGGTGGTAATTATTGTACACTCACAGACATAGTCATATATTTTAACAGGGTAAGCAATTGGACTTTATTTATTGTTGATTGCACTTTCTTTTCTGTATGAAATACTTCAAATACGAGAGAGATACTATTTGATGTACAGTAGATCACTTGAAGATCAAAATGATATGAGTATAGATGTTACCGAGATAAAGAGCGTTCATATTTTATCGATCTTTTGAAACATAAATTCTATTTTTTCATTACTATAATTGATCAAAAATTTTTATGTTGAACATATTAGAATTGTTTTTTTTTTTGCTTACAGAATAAAATCCAATTTAGTTAACTATAACAGACTAAACCAACTAAAAATGCAAACATATCGTTAATCTATACTCATTATAATCTACAACGTATATTCTCTGTGTTTCCCATATTTTTCATAAGTCTCATATATGTACGTACATATATATAGACGATATTGATTTAGTACCTCGTTATGAACGGAACGCGACAAGAGAATATTTGCTTTTTCTTTAAAACAATGTGAATTTAAAATGATTATATTTACTTGGTTCGCATCATTTTCATTGCATACTATTTATTTCCTGTATGGAAATATGTCAATAGAGGGTTTCTGTATTTACTCAGCACCAATTCATATATTGTACACTATTATCGTCGTTTGTGTACTTTTAAAAATAAATGATCAATCATATGATAAAAGAGAAAAAAAAGTTGTACATATGTATACCAAAAAAAATGTTAAATTCACATATTCCTTATAGAAAGTTCTTGTTGACTCATTAGACTAAAAAGATTCATTAAACAATTTTTTTTTTTCGGATACTATAGAATGAGAGTTGTCGAGTTCAGAGTTTAAAATGAACCGAATCGGACTTTGATCGAATCTGAAGTATAGAGTCTAACCTTATGAGATTAATAATGGTTAAAATATTAAAAATTTGATAATGTTTTCGTATCAATGTTGTGTTATATCAGATCTATTCATGGATGTCTATTTGATGTTGAATAGATATTTTTATTGAACAATTATATTCTTATACATAATATGTCAAAAAAAAATATTAAATAAATAAATCATATAGTTGACTGTGACACAATAACCTTGTACGATGATTGAAATATTTTTTCTTCATATCATATCACATATTGTTCGATATATGAATGTCAATAACTATATCTTATTTTGCGTTCTATTGTTCAAATCGATTAAATAAAAAACGTGTCAAAATCATTTTGAAATATATAAATTAAATAATAGGCAAGTAGACAATTGAATTTAATAAATATTCCCGTTTATATAATGGTTGTTTTTTCTTCTGTTTAAGCTACTCATGCTTAGATAAAAATTAACAACGTATATTAGATTATATATTAGACTAACTAACTCATTAGTTCATAGGTTTTTGTTCTTTTTTTTTTTTTTTTTGATACAAAAATTGATGATAAGTAGTACTACCAATAGCTTATGACATCTAGAAAAAATAGAAAGAATAAAGTTCTTGAGATATAAAATAGTAAAGTTATCATTGAGACAGTAACATTGATGATAACTACTGTTATGTTTTGAGTCCATTTGTTTTC